TATTAAGAATATACTAATTTTTAGATGATTACCCTCTTAAATTAAGAGGATCGTCTCAGCGTTTATTTTAGAGGAAAACATACTATACGTAAGTAGGATATTCTTAAATTAAGAATACAATTTTTTCGGTATAACATTGCACGCTTTCTAAGATATATGGCACTATTAAGAAAAATGTCTTAATATTTTTAAGATATTACTATTAAGTGTTAAAAAAACAAACAAATTGTAAGTTAATAGAAATTGTAAGGTAGAAAATGTTTCAAAATGTGAAAATTACGAATTAAATTACTTTCTTCCATTAATTTTTTTCAATGTGCCTCGAGTAATACTTCTTTATAAGTTTTTAGAGCTTCTTTTTGTTGAGCAAGTTTTTCTTGGTGCCTTCTCTCTCTTGTTACTTCTCTTTTCTGCATACTTTCGTCTAAATGTTTTGTCCACATTTGCAATTGCTTATCCAACTTACTTTTCTTCAAACGTAATGAACAAGTACTTTCGTCAACTTTTTCCTATTCAATCTCTAATGGAAGCGCATCTTTTTCTGATAGCAGATTTGAAGCAATAGCCACAGGTTGCACACTAGGAGATTTTCCGTACATCTCATTCATTTCGTAAAAATATTTGCATTTTTTAAATGCTCCAGATTTATTATTATTGTCTTTTGTTTTCATATAATTTTTCCGTAAATTCTTCCATTTACGTTCTATTTGCTTAGCAATATATATATATAACCTTTCTTTTTAAAGGATTCGGCAATCTTCTTCCATACAGTTTCATTTCTTACTTTATCACTTTTAAATAAATCATCATGCTCTTTCCGTAATAAAAAAAGAAGCATAATTGTTGCATGTTCCCATGTAGCTACAAATAAAGACAAACATTGAAATAAAATAATGAATCCTAAAATAATGTAAAGAATAAAAATTTCATATATGCTGGATTTTGTCTATAATTTTATATAAATTTTACCATGTTCTCCAATTGTGTCAGAAGACAAATTTTCTTTATTTTTACAGATGCAAAATTATCTTCAATGTTTAAATCTGCAAAATTAATGATAAATATTATAAAACTTTATAATTTTTACTGTTGATAAAAATGATCGAGCGAACAGAAAAAGATGAAAACTTAACAACAGAAAAATAAAAATATTAACGTATCTTTCTCATAATTATATTTTGGAGATAAATTGAAAAATTTTCGTACTTCTCTCTCTCTCTCTCTCTCTCTCTCTCTCGGGTAAATCTGGTATAGTCCAAATGGTACTATCTAAAAAAAAATACATGTATAGAATATGTAGAATTAAATCATAAATAATAAAAGAAGAATTAATTACAACCAATTAACAAAAATATATTGCAAATATACAAGTATACATTTATCATATTTATATAATGTTTCAGAAAAATCATTTACGCAATACTTCACATAATACATTAACATAATACTTTACTTCAATTATATCGTAAATATCTAAAATTAATATCGTACCTCTCGTATCCATTGTCCAAAAAGAATGATTATCTTTGACTGGAGATCCAGTTTGTTTTGTTACTAAGATATGCGCTCCTTTAATCAAATTACTTATATCCATTCTAAATTATAATTGTAAAAGAAAAAATTGGATTGCCGTTTCTTGTTTCTTAAAAAAAACGAGTGAGCACGTGATACAAAGGACCTAAGTACAAAGATAAAAAGATTGTAGTTTTCATTAGAGTCATAAACGTAATTCGCAGTACAAGTTGACGCAAACTATCTTTTTGTGTTGATTTACGGTTATGACTAGACTGCGGAAGTTTATGCAAAATACTTAACTGAATGTTTTGCATAAAATGCATATTTTGCAATTTTGTAAATTTACAGATGGCAATCTCAATCTTTTTACTTCATCTTTTAATAACTCTTTAACGAACGATTGACTGCTAAAACTGTCTGATAGTTAATATTCAGTTAAGTATTTTGCATAAAGTTCCGCAGTCTAGTTATGACTTATATGGTATAAACGATTTTGTCAGAGAGTAACATCTTTGTATTCAGATCCAAAATCCTATACGGATCAAAATAAAGCCATTAAACATGATTGTCAAAATATTATCAAATGATCTATAACCTCTGCAATCTGATACAACACTGATGCTGCGATCTGATACAGGTATTCTATCAGATAGCAGAGGTTATAGATTATTGGGTTAATATTTTAATAACTATGTTTAATA